TAATTGAAGCAATCATTTCTCTTACATTCACTGTACGAAAATAATTCAAATGAGAAAAAAAATCATTCTACGTCGAAATTGATTTCGTGTTTTTTTGTCCGGAAATTGTACCTACTCCTCTTCTTCTTCTTCTTACGTTCCTATTCCCCTAAAAAAATGATCAACATAATATTTCCTAAGGAAAATCAAACATACTCTAAACCGATATGCATCATTCGGACTGGTTTTTTCATTCTCTGAATTTCGATCAAGCCCCAATATCAAATATGTAACTACAAAAGTAATGATACTCGACATGAACTGAGCTGAAGACCGTAATATTGATATTTGATCGACACATATCACGCCGTGGGCTATTTTGCATCGTGCCATAGCTTGGATTATACTCTATAATTGGGTCAATTTTCTTCAGACATTTCGAGAAATTTACTGTTTCAATAATAATGTATTATGCTTAGCTACTTACTAGAGACTTAATAACATGCAAATCAAAATGTAGTGCAATTTAAATCGAAATAATCGAGACCTTAAATCGAAGTATGAAATATCAAAGGTCAAGCGTTTACGTTGTTCCACGTTCTTCGTTACAGCTCCGAGTAAGTTAATAACATTCAAATGTTTTCTCAAGTGGCACATAATTTGGAGCTCTTTAATGAAAGCCCCAGCCACCTATTTGAATTGAAATGAAAGCATTTGTAAGGCTACAATCCGAAACGATGTCGGTATCAAAATTATCCCGAAAGAGGCGCTGCATGTCCATAACAACAAATCAGTCTCTATACAACACATATACAGACGAATCCTCACTCTTCCTACAGTTGCGACCGATGTGTGCTGTGGCTGAATGCTATTGCATCGCTGCTATTACGAGTGTATATTGGTCAACAACATACCGTTAGGTTTTGGTTCTCAATTATAAGAATTCAAATGCTTCACACTCGCACACACAAAGCAACACGCTCAAAACATGTGAACACAAATACGGTGTCTGTATGAAATACTACGTTTCATTTTTCAGAATAATTTGTGTTGGTGCGTCGTACGAAAATTGTTAGATGACAAGTTTAAAAATATTTACACAAATTCTTTTTTTTCCCAGCAAGTAGCATTATTAGGCAAGTGTGATATCACGATCATTTTCCATTTTTTATCTCAATATCTTAACGAAGATTTCTGCAAGTATTCTCTAAAAATGAATTTATGAAGTAATCATCTTTGTGACGTCTTCCAGCCAAAATTTGAAAGAACGGCTGAGAATTTTGCAAAGTATTGGCGGTGTCAAATTTTGTCCCACTCGCACTAACTGCTGTCTAACCTCGTTCACGTACAGCTAGTACGTCTTTAGTGCGAGCGAATACATTGTATGTCACCGCCAAAATCTCCATCATACTTTAACGCATGTACCTAAATCATTGCCTCGATCTATTCATATTTCATTATCGAAACTCTCTTTATATTTTCAATCATTTTATTTCATTCATCCCCTTTAAATCATAGTTGATCAGCATAAACCAAAGCCTTAGAGGTTACTCCAGAATTTCTTTAATCATGCAATCATCCGTGTTTCCAGTGAGATTTTTCGATTCAGGTGATTTATTTCTGTCGTTCCACGGTTGAATTTCTGCAGACGCCCAAACTGTATAAATGATTGTTCTGACCATTGAAATGCCAAAGGAAACAATGAACACCAGTCTCCATTGCTCAAGCGTTGACTGAGAACATAAAAATTTTCGTTTATACGTATTTTAATATGAATCAACATTGTTATATTTACGTCAGGTATCATCATGCCAACGAAAGTAGGTGCGGCCATGCCAGAAAATGACGCAATTCCATTGATAACCGCCATAATAGGACCAGAATAGTTTGGGCTCAAATCAAGAATATTTACTCTCAAACCACTGAAAATGGAACGTTCTTTAAAATAATATTCACAACTAATTAAGAGAAAGCGTTTCGTGTCATACGCATAGTAACAGCCCTGAAATCCAAAACAAAGTGTAAGCCAAAGGACGACATATGTTTTGTTGTATTCAGCATATGAAGCAGCAAGAGTACAAGCCGATGGAAAAACGCTAGCTACAAGAATTGTACATTTGATTAAATTCCTTCTAAATTTAATCTAAAATATCACCTACATAGAGCACCAAAAAACTTTCGTGCTTGAGTAACAGTGACATATCCTCCGCTAATCAAGTGATCGGAGATGAAACCAGCCACTAAAGACACGATCCACATCAATAAGTACGGCATCGAAGAGTAGAATCCAATATCAGCAACCGAGAATTTCAACACTTCTTTCATATATTTCGGCAAATCCGATGCCAAAACGTAGAAAACATAGTCGTTGATTACCTTTAAGCAAAAATGATGTTGGACAGATTGGTTAAATTCAAAGGTTACGGAGAAAATCGAAAGAGATAGTAAATTTGTGCTATAGAAATTTCTGAAAACGAAATGCAACGAATACCTGTGCAATGATAAGCACTAGAATTGGCACACTTGTGAATATTTCTTTCCATGGCGTTGATGGTAGATTATTGTGACGTTTTAACTGCCCTATTTCCAACTCCAAATAGGCTAATTCTTTTTTCGAAATGAATGGATGCGATTCTGGATCATTGTAACAGATTAACGCCTAGATTTTTAAATAGTAAAGCATCAAACAGATACTATCGATTAAAATCCGTGAATCAAACTGGAATCAATTTCAATTTTTGAAAACTTACAAATAGAATGAACCAAATTGCAGCTACACCACTCCAGAAATAAAAAACCACGGGCCACGGGAAGTGAGATAGAATCAATCCGGACACATAAAATGAAATGAGAAATCCAATCTGACGCATTTGAGGAAGGAATATTCAATTTGAAGTTCACATTCAGCAGTTTATTGAATCATTCGAAAAGTACCTGTGCTCCGCCGAGTACAAATGCAGCTAGTTTGCCTCTCTCTTTCTCTGGAACCCAACATGCAAGCAAAACACTGAGAGCGGGATACATTGAACCGTTGAACAGGCCCATCATTACACGCAAGATTATTAGGGCTACGTAGCCACCTGAAAAAGAAATGAAAATCGAAATAGTCAGTTCGTTATGATACGCCCCACTTTTGGGCAAAAGTTTTGCAGCAAAACATCAATTCAATTCACTTTACTCCACTCCACACCACACCATTCGTTGGAAATGGTGGATACATTTTTGATGTACTGGTCTACATAGGAGATTTTCATCTTAACTCACCATACCAAACGCCAATTGGAGTTGCTGCATTGCAAATGGTCGTCCCCAGAACTCCCAGGCCCAATGTCCATTTACCGCCGAATTTCTGTGCCAAAAGAGCACCGGGAATGTGTGTGATTAAATAACCGTAAAAGAATGAAGATAATATATATCCCTGTTGCTCTTGGCTCCAATTATACCTGGTGCCGTCCTGATAAACAAGTGAATTTATAGTGACGTTAGAAAAATATTATAGTTTTGAAGAATGTGGCACGTTAAAAATAGCTTGTTTTGACGCATGTAAATTGATTAGGTATATAGCAGGTGGCAAGATGTTTTTATGGCGTTCATTTTGATTTGACAGAAGATTTATTAAGTTTGTATTGAATCTCGGCAAGAAATGCGCTCGAAGAAAAGAGGGGAAAAAACAAGCACTAGCTTGGTTGCTTCCAAAGATTCTTCAAACCAATACAAACCATACTGCTACTCTCCATTGGTGCTGTATTGATAGATTCATTGCTGCTTGCTGTGCTATTCATTGGTACAACCATTTCAGTGATTGCAATTGACAAGCATCCTCGCATTAAAAATGAAACGACAATGGATAGAAAACCCAAAAAAGATATAATGACTCGCTGCGGTAGCGCTGAACCTAACAAATAAATTTCAGATAGATAAGATTATTACTTGTTTACTGGAAAAATTTGAAATGCAATGGCTTTTTTTTGTCAAATTGTATTGCCCAGCAGCTTTTGTCAAGCCATTGGAGTAGATTCATTGAAATTTTCGTTCACTACACCGACTTCAATTAATGGTAAGATTTATTGGTCTGTTTGATTTATAGTAAAACCACTTGACTCTTAATGATTATTATTCTCTTTTTGTTTTAATAACTACTTACATTTTGAATCGTCCGAATTATCCATTGTCGCAATCTCAACTGATGGCTGGCTAAAAATATTCACATAAAGTGCTCATTTTCATTGTTTTATCTTATCAAAAGCAAAGCAGTGCTTATCAATCGGAATGGTCACAATTCTCGTGTGCAATTGATTTATTGCATCCTCAAGACAACAGAGCCATCTACTTGCCAATAGATGAAGCAATTTGAGCAAATTTAAACGAATATGAAACCAATACAAATCGTTGATGGCATACTCATCGAATGTATTACCAAGTTACGTTAAAATTCGAGCCTTGAAATCGACTAAAGAGACCTTTCGAAAGTCATTCTTTAGTGAGAATCGTGGTTGATCGATACATGATTGGGAGTCCCAATTTGGAAAAAATTACTTTGTAGATCATTGATTGATGTTGAGTAATGAAAGTGAAATTATCTGTGACTTCTTTCAGTCTTTCTCAGTTCATCTATAAAACACACTTACCAAAACGAATAAATATGCAGATCATTCGATTCAAAACCTCATTTCCATGATATTTTACGTGACAAAAGTCTCAAATAGGGAAAGAAATTTACCAATTTTTCAAGCAATCGAAATGTTTTATTCAATTAAAATTTTCCATGCAATTAAAATGCTCAAACTAATTAGAAATAAAGTAATCGCAGATTATTCAGTGAATATTTCCATCATAAAAATTAAAGATCATAAAATTAACAGATGCCATTTAGTTGAACAACACCGTAATTGCAATTAAAACAAAACGTCGTTATTTGGATAATTTAGGCGTTCATTGAATTGATAACAAATGACAATAAGACGTAATTGGTTGATAACTCCCGTCAACGATGGTGTAAATAAACGTGAAACAATTCATTTCTGTTGATAAATTAATCTTTATTCAAACTAAAAAGAAAAGCAAACATGATGAGTATACATTTTGCATACGATTCGAATTAATCTTGAGGGATGCTAATTGTTTTTACTTTTTAAACAATCCGATTTCATTCATTGGGTGATGTCTTTATTTTACGCGAAAGAATCGGGTAATTAAAGTAGCTTCAGACACTCAAAATGGCTACATTGGCCAATTTGAGCATATTATTCTGGGCTATTTTTTTTGTTCTAATTCAATTTCAGAATGGTTTTCATTCAAAGATACTTCGATTTATCGAATGTTCGATTCATCACACACATAACTAGAGTACTCTGGCAAACATATGACAATTTCCTAAAACGAAACTTAAGATCCTCTTAATGCATTTGAACATGTGTGTGTGTTTGTGTTAGACAACAATTTCAACATCACATAAAAACAGAAACACGCAAACACGGTGTGCCGACACTGTCGGTCACGACACACCTACACAGACATTTATGACGTTCAAACTTAATAACTTGTTCATTTTTTACATTTTCTAAGAGAATACGATAGGATAGGATGTAGGATGAATACTGTCGAGTGGTTAATGATTTCTGATGCGGTTGTTTATCTGCCGTGCGATCGAAAATGCCGAAATTTATTCTTGTTCTGGCTTTTATGTGTACTGCACTAGATTCTTTGGGATTGCGATAAATTATCACTGATAAATTGTTGATTTCTTTTGTCTTGATTTTATTTTTCATTGATCGCAGCGTTGGACTGGACTTGGTATGCTTGAACATTTCCATGGGAAGATGTTTTGCGCTAGTGTTCGAAATATGGCTGAGATTGATTGTATGTGTTTCCTGCTTATTGTTTCTGATGGAATTCGATTTGTTTTTCATTGTCATTGTTATTTTCAATTTTGCCCAGTTCGGCTGATTCGGATCTTCTATTTCCATCATTCCAGGGTTGCACTTCTCCGCTGGCCCAAATCGAGTATACAAAGGTGGTAATTACGAAAATAACAAAGGTTACCCAGAAAACGATTCGCCATTCGGTGAGTGATGACTGTGAATAATGAAAAAATTCTCTTAATTAGCACTTTCTCAAACTTTGTTGAGTTTGCTTCAAAACTTACGTTTGGAGTCATGATTCCAACGAAAACAGGGGCAGCAACTCCAGTCAAAGCGCCAATTCCGTTTGTGACTGCCATCAAAGAACCAGCGTAATTAGGACTCAAATCCAATGGATTTACTTTCATACCTAAAATATTTTTAATGAACAATTAGTCCAATTTGCTCATGCATGAAATTAACCATATTTGTTCAAAATTAACTTTCATACCAGGATAGAATGTACCCATGAAGCCCATAGCTAATGTGAACCAAACGACGACCAACAATTTATTGCATCCAGCGTACGAAGCCAAAACAATGAATATTGCGGGGAAAATGGCAGCTGCAAATAAGAAACAAACAAAATTAGACTTGAGGTCGGATTTCTTATAAACTAATGACAAGATACTCACCAATACCGGTGAACCATTTTCGAGCACCAGTGATTGTGAAGAATTTGCGAACGATTAAGAAATCGCTGAGCCAACCAGTTGACACCGACACAATCCACATAACCAAGTATGGCAGAGATGAGTAGATACCATTGTCTTTGATCGAGAACTGCAACACTTCGCTCATGTATTTTGGCAAATCCGAGACCATTATGTAGAATCCCCAATCGTGTCCGATCTGAAGAAGAATAGAATTAGCACATTTTCATTCGATTAATAGGAACCATTGCAATTTTTTGTGTCGTTAAAAAATTGATATTGTTTGGAAAATTGTTTTTTCTCTGAAAATTTTCGTTCAAAAATGCAATTTTCGAATTTCAGCTTACCTGAGCGCAAACGAGAGCAATCATTGGTACGGATGTGAGAATGGAAATCCATGGAGTCGGTGGTAAATGTTTGTGTCGTTTCAATTGGCCGAGTTCAGTTTCGAGGTATTCGCGTTCTTCTGTCGATATGAATGGATGTGAGCCTGGATTGCTGTAGCAGAGCACAGTCTAAACAACGAAAAGACACGTTACATTATGTTATTTGTGCAAAATTCGTAGAATAAACGTTTTTTACTTACAAAGATAAGGAACCAAACGACTGAAGCGATTCCAAACACATAGAACACCACTGGCCATGAGTATGAATTCAAAATTAGACCAGACAAAAGGTTTCCAGCAACTGTTCCGATCTGAAATGAAAAAAAAAGAATGATTCTTGTACTTTTCCACAATTAAAATTTAAAAAAATAATGTTCAATAAAAAGTAAGGGCGATCGTTCGTTCATTTCGAACTTTGATCCAAGCAAAAATTACAACCGTTTTAGTAGAAACGTGCTAATGTATGCAAGCAATAAATACCGATTACATTAAAGAGATGAATGTGCTGCTAGTAAAATGTCCATAAATGTACATTGAGAAAAAAGTGATGCCTTATAAGGCTTAAACGTAAGTCGAATTGATGAAATTACAGAATGGAAATAATTCAAACCAAGTCGTTGAGTTGTTTTATAAAGTTTTGCGCACGCAAATTCAACAACAAATCGTCATTTTACTACGGCATGTGCTTATAAAACCGATGTGCCGGCAATTCATTTTCATATCACGTTGTAACATTTTGAATATATAATTAATTCGATTGCTTCCGTTTGTCACACACATGTTGTTTAAAAAAATTGAATTGTGACGAAATGCGCGTGACTTCAAAAGTTTTAATGAGTTTTTTTTCTGTATAATAATAATCAATGAATCTGCTTTTGATACATAATGCGTATGATGAATAAGGCTTGATAAAATCATTTCAGTTTTGCCAAGGTCAACGGTATTTTTGGCACTCGTCAAAAGTGACGTGTAAACATAATAAATTTAATCAATTGTTTATCTGTTTAAGTGCGATAATTGCACGATATTAAAAAAAACAGACATATAAGAGTTACTTCCTTTATTGTTGTGTGTTGTTGATGATGATTTATTTTTTTTTTAACATTTTAATGCTCGTTTAACTTTTTGCGATATTGTTCTGATAAAATTGGTAATGCAATGGAAAGAAGTTGACGAATTTTCCGGTTGAATTGGAGAAGAGAGTGATTTTTACTTACTTGACCGCCTCCGAAAACGAATGATCCAAGTTTGCTTCTCTCTTTCTCCGGCACCCAGGATGCGAGCAACACGCTGAGAGCGGGGAATGTTGTCCCTTCCCCGAGGCCCATAAGAATTCGCAAAATGATCAAAGCAATGTGTCCACCTGGAAGGAAATACATTTGTTTGTTTAGAACACGAGCCATAATGCTTCGATTGTGATTTTTACTTAGGTTAGCCATTCTCTAAATTACCTAATAGACAATGTAACAAGCATGAGCTAAGCTATAAACATTAGAATTCATCGAAAAAACTATAACACATACCATGTTGAACGGCGAATGGTGTGAGAAGAGTGAAAATGGCAGTTGATAAAATTCCTAATGACAACGTCCATTTTCCACCGTATTTCTCGGCAATGACACCACCGGGAACATGAGTGAGCACATAGCCAATGTAAAAACTACTTAGAATCCATCCTTGTTGCTCTTGTGACCAATGGTACTCACCACCGCCACTGTGATGCTAGTGAGTTAAATCCCAATTGAGCACATAAATCTTTGATTTAATCCACAAAATAACTTACCGAACCGCCGGAGCCGGGTGTCGATGGATCAGCCAGACAAATACTGTGATTTTTCGAACTGGATAATGTAATATTTGGTCTGGCTACCATCTCAGTGATGGCGACGGACAAGCAAACACGCATAACATAGGCTATCGCAATTGCGCTGAAACACATGATCGATAGGATAATGCGCTGCGGAATGCAGAAAACTAGAACGAAAAATATTAAAGTTTCATTTAAAAAAAAGTAGTTCACATTCAATCGACGAAAAAAAAGAGGAAGAGTTCAAGTTTTGTACTGATAAAAATTGCATTTGTTCTGATTCAATCGAAACATTAATCATCGTTCATTTCAATTGAATCGACAAATGAATTGATTCATTGGGCAAATAAATCAATCAATCGTTGAGCTGCTGATAAGTGAATTTATGTGTGTCTCGTATCTCCTTTGCAATGAAAGAAAAGTCAAAGCCATAAACGCCTTTGCGTCAAACACATTGCACTAACTCGATGCAAAAGTGATCGAAGGTTTCACCTTTGAATTCAATTTATCTTGTTTACTTCTTCGGCATTCACACATATCGAATTGATTATTTTATGACCATGCATAAATCTCTGTATGTTTCCGACAATTGTAGCCAGTTGCTGCAGCGGCGAAACATTGCATTTTATTGATAAAATATAGTGAAAACCCGTGTGAAAAAGAAATGACTGACTGACTATAACTTCAGTTGACTTTAGTTGATTGAATTTATATTTTTGTTCTAAGAAAATCACTTGGTCCCAAATGAAGCAACTTAGATTGACTTGTAACTTCAAATGATTTCAGTTAACTATGATAGACTTACACTACACTTTGTACTGAAATGTCAATCAAAGTAAGTCATTTTTGTCCCAAATTAGTTAACTGACTGCTCAGTTACTATTTTTTCACACGGGAAGGTTTGACATCTGGATGCCCGTGAAGTATTTCATTTGATTTATTTGTGCGACGAAATTGTAATAATTTTCTAAGCGAATGATACTAGGGGGAGTCATGATTATAAACATAAGACGAGGGAATTGTCCTTATCACATTGGTCACACGTTTCGCACGTTATGTGAACTTCTTAGCTTGTGAATAGTGAATTTGGTCAAGTGACCATTGCTTCCTCAATATCGCACACAATCGATGCATATCGCACAAGCATGTGACCGATGAGCTTAGGAACTCAGTAGATTGGCAAGAAGTTTAAAACTAAATTTTGTTGCGATAACCCGGTTCAAGTAAATGTCGCCCATTGAAAATCGTGTGACTCAAACGAATGAAAAAAAAAATTAATTCAATTCGTTTTTTTGTTGCACATTTTAATCAAATGAATACGATAATTTGCAAATAAAACTCTATAAAAAAGTGGTTTTTTTTATTGATGTCAATTTATTTCCCTAAACATGCATTCGATTATCCATTTATAGTGAAACGAGAAATGTGCGCGAGCGCTCGAGTACATCGGCATTAAAACAAGTGTACACACGATTGTAACGACCAAAATACAAGCAGAAAGATAAACAAACCGACTCACACACACACAAAAGTCACACAAAAACGTCTTTGTTCCACCGGAAAAGTGTCTACGTCTCGCTCAGATTCGAAATGAATCAAACAAAAATCAATTTGCAGTCCAATCCGGTCCATGCGCCGCTTTGAATTACAGTAATTTGAAGTGAAAAAAAGGCGTGAAATATGTGTGTACATTACGTGTACGGTGGTTTGCATTTTTTTTGTTCCCTCTCCTGTTTGTCTACCGTTCAATTATCAACACAAATATTTGTCGCGTGAATATTTTGAATATCTCTCGACCTGCGACTGCTGGATTGAATTCCGAAATGTAAATTAATTGGCTGTTAATTGCCATTACATTTCATTTGAATTCCGATTTCAATCAACTCCGTCGAGACAAGAATTTATACGTACACAAAATGCAATTGTCGGGTAAAATACTATGGTAGTTACAGTTCTGTGTGGCTCTAGCAAATCAACGTATTTGAAGTATTGCTGCTTTTTTGTTTTTGCTTCTGTGTTGTGCGCTTTTTCTCTCTTTCGGCATATTTGAATCTCGTTTGAGATAGACACACACACACACACACACACACACATGTGCCCATAAAAAGGTGTTAGATGTGGTTGTACTAATTTTTTTATTAATTAAGTTTTTTTTTCATTTCGAAGCACTTGAACTTGAAAATTCGACATAAGCATAAATTATTTTGCGCTCGATCGTTTTCATATTGAGACTGGTTATGAATTGACTGGCATAATTTGTAGGTTTATTGTATCGCTAAGCCAGTTATAACTGAATAATTTTGTTTTCGTTTCAACCACATGCTGAATAAATAGACAATTGAAAATATGCATTTCGATTTTTTGTTGCTGTCGCTTGTTTGCCGATCGTATTCATACGTTTGCTCGAATGTTAAACATATGAACGCTATTTTTGGTGGAAAAAAACTCGACATTAAAACAAAAGATGAAGAAAAAAAAGAGCGGCCGAAGCATCTTGTTGTCAGCTTGTAATAATGAAACTAAAAATGGCACAAAAGATCAATATTTATACAGTCGCGCGCATGCCAAATGACATATCATTGTTTCTCTCCACTTACAAGTTTCACACATTTATTCGAGATGACAACGGAGAAAAAGATTGCAGTAATTTTAATAAGATATGCAAAAGCGTCACATTTTTTTTTCAGTTCGCTTCGACATATATTCGCGTAATTCTATTGAACAAACGAAATTTCTATTATTATTCATCCATTCAACTGAAGTTCATTAGGAAATTATCTAGAAGTGAAGTATGCTTTGAAGTATGTTTCCTGATTGATTTTGGCACAAATCAATGCTACTTGAAAAAAAACCTCTTTGCGATTCTAATTCGCAGAAATAGCCCATTGAATATTAATTTTGCACAGAAATTCTCTCTTTTCTCCCTATCTCTCTCTCACTCTCCCACTCTCTCACTCTTTCGCAGCACACACCATCTCAGTACACCTCACTTTGGCGAGGCATAGAGAGAAAATGCTTTGCGTAAGCATAAAAAAAATTAGCAATTGAAATTAGATGAAGTCATTGGAACCTGCAAATTGACCACAAACACAGCAAGCAATGACCGTCATTGTAAAAATGGCCAAATTTTTGCCATGATTGACTTTATGAAAGCGAGTTTTTTTTTCTTCGGTTGCCGATCAATCCGTTATAGATTTCTGTCATAAACATGGCTTCCGAACACGGAATGATGCATCATCATCCGAGGGCCATAGATCATGGCAACATCAAATATTAATATTTTTTTGTATTTTTCCATAGCCAAAAATATACTTCAATGCTCAGGTCCATTTCAACCGACAAAAACAAGAATGATTATTTGAGTGTGTTTTGATCATTCAATCTTATTCATAATTCGACGAAAAGGAGAAGAATGAACGCAAAAAAAATAATTCCGCTTATTTATTCATCAAGAAGAGGATTAATCACCATTTTGTTAACTTTGTTTTGCTTTTATTGTAAATTATTTGAGGGAAAAAAAGGGAAAACAAATACGCGATACGCGGTTTTAGTTCCTATAAACAATCCATTCTCTTCAAATCGTTAAGATAAATGAAGCAGCACAATTGTCGCTCATTTCCATTCAACAAAATATTGTAACTACTTGTGTAAATAACTGAACAATAAGTGTAGCAAAATAATCTTCTTATGGCAATTTAGAACGGGGAATTTGTTCGTTGCATTTGAAGCAAACGGCATTTGAAGCTCGAAATAGATTTTCTGGGAATAAACCGAATGACCAATGCGTTAAAATTAAAAGAAAATGATACAAAGTACTTTTCATGTAACGGTAAAAAGGGGAAAAAAGTCCTTTCAAAGAAATTGTTATCAAAAATACCGTGAAAATAAAGTCATCAATTCCGATTTAAACGTCAATCAACTTTATTACACTTGTAAATCAAAAAAGAACAAAAGCAAAGCACCAAAATAGAAGAGATGTTGTTCAATCGCCAGATAACACATTGCGATCGTAATGATAGCGCGAGATTTAAACGATATTTAACGATGTCCCACATTCGTTTCGTAATGAGCACAATTCATGTTTAACTTCTTTTCCAGAATTATTTTTCTGTTTTAATTGAAAGTAAAACCATTTCAAAGTCATTAAGATGCATTGAATGAATGACATTATCCAGAGACGATAATGATGGCAATTAATTAATTTAGAAAAGAAGGAAAAAAACATTTTTTTCTTTTCAAATGGCATTTTCGTTTTCTAGCACAAGAATTCATTCGCACAATCACGCAACTCGCACAATCAAACTCCAAGTCGATCACTGTTTCCGATATTCCATTTGATATCACTTACATTTTGCAAATCGAGATTGCACCATTTTTGTAATTTAGTTGCTAATAATTACGAAGCGAAACGAAAGAAAAAACTGAACCAAATTGTTCCCGCTGAAAATCACAATTGTTCGTCGATGCACACACAGACACAATTTCTTAAGCTCTGGTAGCCGTTTGCACAGCGCAAACGTTGACACAATGCTCCCAACACTTGTTATTTTCAGTTGGAAATGAATTGACGAAGACAGACTGCGAGGCGCACTCTACGATGTTCGTGCTGAACGCGAACGGTAAAAATTATGAAATGAAAAATGATAATGTGGTTTCAGTGGCTTATATAGGCGGCGAGTGAGCATGCTCGCGCAGCCGACTCACTCTTGCACTCTGGAACAAGTGATTCGCTTTTATCGTCACACTAACGGCGGCGACAGCAGCAGCACACTATCGCCAATCATTTTCATTCTTAAGTTTTTTTTTCATTCGTTTTGCTTCTGTGTGTATATGTCATACGCTTAATACATCAAACGTTCGTTTTTACGCTTAGATATTATGACAGCCCGAGAAGCAAAGACACATGTGAACAACGCTCGATGTGTGTTGGTGCGAATGGAATACAGACAAACATGTGACGGTCCGTACGGATATGAGTAAGTTGTTTGGAGTAACAAAAGTTCAATTAACGAGAAAAAAAAAATCGTTCCTCTGAACGGGTAATCTAATGTAAATTAATCTCGCTAGAGTTGTTGTTTTTTCCATCATTTGACTAAAACTTTATTTTGCTTGAATTTTCGATTTAAATCATTTTTTTTATTGCTTCTTGTTCAGTATTTTAATCGGAAATAGACCAACTCATTCGGCATTGATTCATTTGTTTACTTTAGAAACTTAAACTTTGCTTATTCGCAATCGCATACCGATAATAGAACACATTTGGGTTGAGTTCTGAGCAACTTTCGAGCGTGCGTATTCTGATACAAACATCATTAGAATGGAATTCTTCCATTGGAATTCTATTTGTTTTCAATCACAACAAACATTTTTGAGCTTCATCCACTTTGTATGCCAGTTCAGTTCTGAGGCTGTCGCACGAAGGAACCCGAAAAAAGCGACGAAAACATGTGGATATTGATTGAATGTGACAAGCATGTGTGATATGTTTCCGACTATGGAATTACGCTGCGCCTTTTTTGGTCTTGCACCGAATGCAGATCATTCGTTGACATTTTCATGCTATTTGTATCAATACACAATACCGTTATCGAATGCATTTCGTTTCGTTGTTTGATTGCTGAATGCGGGACCTGTGATTAGTTTGTGGGAATATGATTTATCGAACATTCCAGGCATTTTGTCTGCTGATAAGGCTTTAGATCTCTTTGAAAGCCAATGTTAGTGAAAAAAGTGAATTCCACAACAGTTTGATAGGGCGGTTAGACGGTACGGAAGAACTTTATTGTACCGAAAAGTGGATTTTAACAGCGTACCAGAGCCGTCCAATTGGCTGATAGTGCGTGTAGATGTTCATCTTAATTGGTGAAGCGCCACTTCCGATGATTCACTTCAGAATCTTGTCAATCACGTTTTTTATTTAATCATACTTCAGCTTACATGAAACATGTGTAGCACAAGAAACGTGCGTCTACAGTACTTCAATTGATAGGCGCCTAAATGATAATAATTATCTTGATTGCGGCTTTTTTATCGATTGAAAGATAAACTGATTTTAATTGGCATAACAACCAAACACACTCTATTAATAGGGCTTGGAAATCGATTTCTTTTTATCGTTTCGCTCACAGAGCTATAAGTTATCGTAAGGGCAAAAAAAACAACACGTTTAAATTGAAGAAAGCATTATCGAACGGATTTCGTATGATTTTTCCGTACTTGTTAATTCAGTGTGGAGGGCTGAACATTTCACACTCAATATTATAGCGACATCTATTATTAAAATAGCTTGTAGTAAACGCATTCATAGCATTTCACTGTAGTTGCGATGTTACCTATTAAATTCCCCTGTGGTATGTAGTTAACAAGTGTCAAACATGAATGTGTCAGTACTACAAGGGAACTTAATAGGAAACATCGCAACTACAGGGAAATGCCATAAATGCATTTACTACAAGCTATTTTAATAATAGATGTCGCTATAATATTGAGTGTGTTTATTGTCCGATTATGAAATGCATTTACTTGGAATTTTGTGAAAATTCATTGACAATTCATATACATTTCCTAAGGAGTTTTGATTGAATTGCATTCATTTATTTATCCATGGTTCATGGACCATGAATAAGTCATTCATGCATTATATACCAAAATGCTTTATGTTTTGCATTTATGTACCAAATTTTCAATTCAATAAATAAAAAACATCATTCGTGACATATTTCTTTGATAATTTTTGTTATAATTTATTTATTATTAATTTGTGTGTCAAAATGAGTTGCCGACCAATACTCAATGTTCGTCAATGTTCATGCATTTGTGATACATTTCTACATTGGCCTATCTTCCGCAACCCGCAATTCAAATTCAAATTCATTTCAGTTTTATTTCGTAACGATTCAAAATCTTCTTTCATTCTTAACGAACCAAACAGGACTCTAAAATATTCCACCTTCCCCGCTTATGTCCTTCACATTCGTAGTTCAACGACATAACTGAATACTGGGCTATCCTAGCTTTATTGTAAGAACCGTGTCCCATTTTGGGCCATTTTGTATAGAGATGTGACGTATACTATCTTAAAGGGCACAGTGCGTAGATCAATTATATATAGGTACCCAACCCCTAAATCGAAGGGAAAGGGGTTAAAAAGGGGGTTATATGGATAACCTCCAAAATGAAGGCATCACTTTCGAGGGCCATGGCTCCCTAACTAAGGGAGCTGGGCAACACTCCTTGGGTCAAAATTGAAGTACTCGAGATTACCTATCCAACGGTATACAGTGAGCGTCAAAATTTTTGGCACAGTTAGTTTTTTCAGTTTTT